TCTCATTTGAACCTTCTGACAAGATCCGAATCGAATTTTTGCATCTAGACCCATTCTCATTTCGCCCGTTCGCGCTACGACCGGAGTGGCACTAGTTCGGCATGCTTCTAACGTCGTTGTGCCTTCGCGGCTTTGTTGATGAGCCTTACCTTGCTTGGGCACCCAACATACCATCACATGATATATGTTATGTGTAGAGGTACGCACTGAGAATCGTACACTGACGCCTGCTTCCCTTCCTCTAAGCAATTGAGAAAAAAACCGAAGAACATTTAATTTTGAAACTTTGTTTCAACAGAAATAGCATACATAATAGCAGTGGTTCTCAACCATTGATGTTTCGCGGACCCCTTGTAGAAAGGCGGAGATGATGGAGGCTCCCGTTCGGGGTGAGGGGAATAGGAAGGTATAGGTTATCATGATGATGTTTTAATAAATTGATATAACTAATTGCTACTGCGAAGTAGACTTATCTCATTGACATACACATGAGAGTACTCTCCCGAAAATTGGAACGTTGCTTCTCACCGTGAGGAAAGACAGCTAACATTGCCGCGCCAGACTGATGAGACAGGGCTTCGCAGACCCCAAGGATGTCTTCGCAGGCTCCCTTTTGAGAATCACTGCATTATAGAAGTGGTAGCGTTGTCCCAAGTCGAGAGACCTCAAACAACGTGACATTTCGGAATATCATCTGGCTGCGATAAATAGTTGGTCTGTTTTATTTTCAGATAGTAGCTTTTCACGACGACCTCAACGGATTGCTAAAATCCTTAGAAAAGAGAGCATGCCTGTAGCGTGGCACACACACACACCCACGCAGAAAATATATCAATGTGTTTGTTCATATTATCCTAAAAAGCGATTTTGGTATAAGTCAACTGCGACGGGTCAAAGTGAGATATTTTTGAGAATGGCTGTTTTGAAAAGGGCCAGGTGAGAAGGGCGAAATGAGAACGGGCCCGAATGAGGAGGGTTGGAATGCGAAAGACGAAACGGGAAAGGACCAAATGCGACGGGTCCAAGAGAGAAGATCTTTTTGAGAATGGTTGTTTTGACTACACGATTAAAATTTTTACACCCTTATTCGTGTAAATGGCGTGTAAGGGTGTTAGCCGCCGGAGGTGAAGAAAATCGTGTAACTGCTAACACCCTAAAAACAACATGACGGCCAATATGCGACAGGCGATACGATTAAAAGGCTTGGCGAGCCGTACGCTGCTTCTCGCTGGAGCAAAAGCATACGGCTCACACGCTCGTTTGGTGTCATCTGTAGGCTCAAAAAACTTTCCAAACGCTCTATGTCCAAGCGCCAACACCGCAAGTAATACGAGTAAGGCCGAGACCGCTGGAGACTGAGCAGCCGAGATTGTCGCCGAAGCCTCGCTCGGCCTGCTCAATGTCGGTCGCATTTTTATCGCATCAGAAGCGTTTATAACGAAGGGATAGCTTTACAAACACTGACAGGCTGGCTTTATTGAACACAACGTCCACTTGCCGTGGACGACAAGTTGACAACGAATCGCTCCGACACCCTCTGTCGACAGCGGCTAGGAGGTATCGCACTCGCGCCTCGTGTGGCTCTCACTATTGCCCCTGCTCACCTCTGTTAAGTGCGTTATCCACTCATGGACGTTAGTGCGTGAACAGAGGCATTCAGCACCTAGAACACACGCTGGGGAAGCCGCCTAACCTCCTTTTGTTGCAATCAGGCAGCACAACACGGCGACACAGCAGTAGAGTAATATAGTAAACGTAAAGAGAGGACACTAAAGCCGATTCGCGGCCCAGATAGTCCGTTTCATACCTCCGCTACGTGGCGCTTTTCTGTAATTTGGTTAATATTAATTAGAGCTTTCTCTCCGAAAAGTATTTATTTTCTAAATTGTTATGCTTTAGAGTTATTTAAAGTACTTAAAACGACTAAATAGTGTTAATCAATTAGGTCACAAAAACCACGTGATGAATGGCGCCTGCCATGGCCTGTCTGCTCGCACGCCGTCACCTCAGCTCGTCCGTGCCGTACCGTCCGTGCCGTCCGTGCCGTCCGTGCCGTTCTTCTCCGTTTTATGCTACAGCGTGTTCGGTCGACTTTGCTTGAAACAAAGTGACGAATGACCGCCACGTCCTCTCATGCTCGGCGTGAGTTTGTAGAGCTGAGCGTCTTGATATGGCTTGAGCTTCTCGTGTTTCCGTCGGGCTGCCTGGACCTAGATTTTTAAACAAAAGGCAAGTTGTTTTGCTCATTTGTCTCTCGGCTGTGTTGTAAAGCTGGCTTTTGAATTTGCTGAGTCTGGGTTGCCGTCCGACGCCCCTCGGGCAGAGCTTTGTTCATGCGTGTTCAAGTGCCATCAGACATCTGTGGATTGCCGTTGAAAGGACTTATGCCGTCATAGATTGAAGTTAATTCACTGACTAAAGCTGGGTCGACAGTCGTTCGCAGTGCGACGAATTCGGGGCAAGGTGTCCATTGAGTCTTATTGATATTTTGACATGCATTCTTTCAATGGCGCGTCGCTGCTTTGATTTATCACATAAAGTACGTGCAAAAGAAGGAAACCAGCGAATGTCGCTCAAGCGAGCTACATGGCTTGTGTGTACCGCCATACGAGCTGCAGTATGCTGCAGTTACGACGACAAACTCATGCATAGAATTTCGGGGGGAAAAACTGCGAGACGCAGTATCAAATTTAGATATTTAATGAAGTTCCCATGCAGCATATATATCCTATGGACGTCCACGGGCCATCCAGGATAGGACATCCATGGAACTTTCGGACACTCTGAGAATGTACGGAGGTCTATTCAAACATGGTTCCCACTACATCGCTACATCACCAAATGGAGCTCGAAATTTAGGTCTATGATTCGCTGACATTATTTTCTATGTAAGAAAGCAAAATTCAAAATATTGACGGCCAATTTAGCAGAAACAGCAGAGGTAGATTAGTCCTACTCATTTTGGCCGTACTATGCTTAAATTCCTGTTTTACTCTTAAGGATGACATTCAAACGTTGGGTAAAACCAGTCAGACGTCACTTGAACACTTGGTTGGAGTGCTGTGGGATGGCACTCTAGACACTGCGTTCGAATTATGATGCATGAAGATTGCGTAAACTTCACAAACTTCACAATATTTCTTTCACCCGTTTGTGTTAATACGTGTCATGGGTTTATTGTAACATTGCGTCGTGGCAATATCTTGAGACATTGTTTAATTCTCCATCAGTTTATTTTTTCACCAGCCGCTATTGTGCTACCTTCCGCTGGACTAAAGGGACGCGCCATTGGCTAGGCTTCAGTAGATGTTAAACTCTCCCTCCCCCGCTGGCCCAGATTATGTCCAACGGAAGTTACTGCTGCGTGGTCTGGTGCGCCAACAATGGGAAAACAAAGAAGAAGCCACATGTCAAGTTTTTTTTTAATTCCACGTGACCCAAGGTACGTATAGATTCTAAGGCTGTCCTTACAACATTTGATCGAAGCATAACATTTTGAAATGAGAACTATGGTCCGTTGCAACCTAAGAACAAAGGGCGTGGGTAAGACGGGCCGGGGAGGAGGAAGCAGACGGAACACGAAACGCTAAGGGGAGAAGGAGGTTTTCCCCTTTCTTCTCCAGCGTTCCGTCTGCTCCCTCCTCCCCGGCCCGTCTTACCCTCGCCCTTCGGTCTTAGGTTGCAACAGACTATAGCAAAAACGATTTCTTCCATGTCACTTTGGTTTATGGACACCAATATCTTTCAGCATTTTAAGGTTATCTTGCCTCGGGCCTAAATTGATTGCATACCCTGGTGGGTATGCAATCTGTTTGTTTAGCTGTATTGCACTGTACAGTAGCATGAAGAAGAAAAACAAACTCTTCAAAACGTGAACACTTTGCTGAGAGGTGCCATACCAAACGGCAGTGAAACATTAAAAACAAGGCTCATATATTTGGGGTTTATTTGGCCCTTACAGTATGTGTAACCTTGGTGGTATATACAATGTTCTGCAGGTCAAAAGCATGGCTACAGTATGCCAGACGTCCTGAGCTCCTAGGAAAGACAGCCAAGGAGCTCTATGAGGGGTATCGCCTGTGTAGTGAGCATTTCACAGCCAAGGACTTTTTGGATCCTGGGAAGACAAGGCTGACCAAAACGGCTATTCCGACGGTTCGGCCGCAAATGTTTAGGCCATCTGTAACAGCCCAAGGTAACATATTCTTTATTTGCAGTCTGTACGGAGTTCTGTTATATTTTGCTTTTAGGCAGCACCAACTCTACGTCACTGATGCCAACTGCCAGCATGCTGTCAACGATGTTTGACAGTCTCAAAAGTTTTAATCTGATTTAATTAGTTTTTATTATTAGTTTGTGCTTAAATGTTATATCTAATTCATTTAGCATTTTTGTACATTATCCCTGTAATGTCCCTGCGCATACTGTTGCCCATAACCAATATCCGGCCCAGTTTGTTGGAAAATTGTTTTAAAGCACAAGGTCAGCTGCATTGAAATACCGTAATTTGTGTCCTGCAATCACGAAGGGCAGTTCCGCCAGTGCAGTATGACTTCTTACAGGGCATCCTAGGTTTGTAGCATACAATAGTGATATAAATGAAAGATAAGGCAGGTCAACGTTCCCCTGTTCATATCCAATTCGACAAGAGGACTCATGCCGTCCGAGTCCTCTTCCTGACACTCATGTTTACAAGGTTAGCTTTAGTTCCCCATGCTGTTATGTTCTCATACATTAGCATACCGGGCCGTTAAAATTTAAGATATTCCGAGATTCCTAAGTTCCTTTTCAAGACCCGCCGGATCCTGTATTTCGCCACTGATTAATATTGCTCAACATTAATTTTCATCACTAAGGAATTTCAATGCCCTTTCAGAGTGCTGAATATTTTCTGTTCCTTTGAAAGGTAACACTACTAACCTATCATTCGCCTGTAGCAGGAATTCTCCATCAGAAGCTTTATAAGCAGGTATTCATATCTGAGAAGCCAAACTTTTTCAGAAGAACCGGTGGCAACAACATGCCCCTGTGACGTTCCATTGGAGGGAAACAGAATGTCGCATCCCACAGCAGCTTATGGTGAGATTATTAATTTTTAATTGGCGGCTCATATCTGACAAGGAAGCCCTTTTCAGAAAAGCCGATGGCGGAACCAAGCCCCGGGGATGTTCGATTGGAGGGCAGCAAAACGTCGCCTTCAACAGCTGCTCATGGTGAGATCATTTATTTTAAAACAGGGGCTCATACCTGACAAGCAAACATCTTTCAGAAGGACCGATGGTGGCACCAAGCCCCGGGAACGTTCCATTGGAGGGTAGTGGAACGTCACCTTTGGCAGCTGCTCATAGTGAGATCATTTCTTTTAAATCTGCTGCTCATAGCTGACAACCAAACATTTCTCAGAAGAGCCGGTGGCGACATGTCCCTGTGACGTTCCATTGGAAGGAAGCATAACGTCGCATCCCACAGCAGCTTCTGGTGAGATTATTTATTTTAAATGAGCGGCGCATATCTGACAAGGAAGCCCTTTTCAGAAAAGCCGATGGCGGAACCAAGCCCCAGGGATGTTCGATTGGAGGGCAGTGGAACGTCAACTTTGGCAGCTGCTCATGGTGAGATCATTTCTTTTAAAACAGCTGCTCATAGCTGACAACCAAACATTTGTCAGCAGAACCGGTGGCGACATGTCCCTGTGACGTTCCATTGGAGGGAAGCATAACGTCGCATCCCACAGCAGCTTCTGGTGAGATTATTTATTTTAAATGAGCAGCTCATATCTGACAAGGAAGCCCTTTTCAGAAAAGCTGATGGCGGAACCAAGCCCCGGGGATGTTCGAATGGAAGGCAGTGGAACGTCACCTTCGGCAGCTGCTCATGGTGAGATCATTTCTTTTAAAACAGCGGCTCATATCTGACAAGCAACCGTTTTTCAGAACAACCGATGGCGACAAGCCCCTGTGGTATATCACTGGAGGGTACCAGCGCGTCACATTCCATAGCGGCCTGTGGTAAAATAAATCTCCTACACCAATTGGGTTTATGCAAACATTCGTATTTAACAGTGACACATTTTCCAGAGCAAATGGGAATGGCCAGCTCTCCTGGCCAGCTTTTGGACAACAGCACTCCATCTTCGTCTGTTGGCTATTCTGAATCATCTGGAACCTGTGAGTATAAATTTACTTCTCTACAAATTTAAGCACTGCAAAATTGTGTTTAGTACCTCTGCATTTAGTATGCACATTGCTTCAAATTAGGTGATATTATTTGTCACGTCATTTTTGTGCTGGCCTTAATAACCTGGAACATCACTACAGGGCTCTAGGTGACGGGGAACATAAGCTTTGAAGTGTGGCACCGTGAAATGCTCTGAAAAGGGGTGGTTTCCTAGTAATCTGTGCTTACTGTAGTAATTTTCCAATCCTTTTACATACAGTTCTCATTTTGGATGACCCTGTTGAATGTAGTGATTGACTACGCGATTATTCAATATTTGAAAGATTCATCAATTTATGTTAATACAGTTTTTGTGGTGAAATTATTGCAGCTGAAAGACTAAAAGCTAGTTTAATTTTTTTTTCTGATAGCAGCCATTTGTGTATAAACAGTGGTAACAGAACATTCGGAGCAAATGCCCACTCACAATTTGGAGATAATCATGAAAAAATCAGAGATGTATGCTTCTTATGCCCGAAAGCAAAATTGCAGAACAGCCAAAGGTTGGGGGGAAGGGGGGTCACCACTTTGGAGGCCCGTGCACGTGTCAAGGTTCACCTTTTACATTGGTGTGCTTGGAGAAGCAGCTGAAGCGGATGAGCATTTCTGTTAGGTGGGTGGGTTTTTAAGTCTGGAGTTGGACATTGATACGTGCTTTGTTTATTTCGCAACCGTTTCGAAAGTGGCGGGGGGGGGGGGGGGGGGGGGAGGGGGCACATATTGCAGCATGGGTAAGTGGTCGGTATTTGGCGGTATCGTTTCTGTCGGGTTCTACTTTTATCATTTTTGTGTAGCCTGACTTATGTGCTTTCGGTATTGTTTTGGCAGGCTCTGGTCGTTCAACACCTGCTTCCGCCAAGCTCTCAAGGAGGCCCAGGGACGTCATAAAACGCCTACAAGCAAAGGTTTCCAGTTACGAAAGACAATATCAAGACTGCGCAAGCAACAGAAGCAAATACCTCAAACAGCTGCTGAAGCACTTGAAATGGTGCGTCCGTTTGTGACAGAAGAGGTTTTTGGACTTATCTCGTCACATGTAAAATTAGGGCGAGGAAAACGGTTTCCACTGTGGCTCAAGAAGTTTGCTTTGCATCTGAACTTTCATGGCCCACAGGCATACCGTTTTCTATCGTTACATTTAACGCTTCCCACACAGCGTTCACTGCGTATGTGGCTGTCGAACGTAAAAATGACTCCTGGTATTATACCTGGTGTCATGTCCTCCATCGAATCTCAAGCGCGGTCTTGGAATGCACGTGATCGTGTTTGCACCTTGATTTTTGATGAGATTGTTTTCAAAAAGAACTTGATATACGACCCTGCACACGACATTATTCATGGATTTACAGATGACGGTGTTGAACGAACCTCGACCATTGCAGATAGAGCCCTGATTGTTGTGCTCTCTGGAATTTCCAGGAGGTGGGTTCAGCCCCTCGCATACACTGTTGGGCACACTTCAACACCGTCTTTTGTTATCCGGAGCCTCCGGATTTCTCTCATTCGAGAGCTTAAGACTGTTGACTTCACTGTGAAGGCCGTGGTCCGTGATCAGGGGGCTTCAAACGTAAGCTTAGCCAACCAACTTCGTGTATCTGCTGATAAGCCATTTTTTGAAGTCGACAACGAACATGTTTACTTTATCTTTGATGTTCCGCACCTCATCAAAACAACCAGAAACAATCTCCAAGCCCACAAACTTTGCATTGGGTATGAGGTCATTGAATGGTCCCATATTGTTGAACTTTATCGTTCTACTCATGAGATGAGGTTGCCATTGGCTCCAAAACTTACTGAGAAGCACATTTTTCAAAAACCTTTCAGTAACATGAAAGTAAAGCGTGCCACACAGGTCCTGAGTGCCTCAGTCTGTCTTGCCATTCTATCCCTTGTTTATGCCAAGGAGCTTCCTGAGGCAGCCATGGCTACAGCCTATTTTTGTGATAGAATGATTGTTTAAATAGCTCGCAATTCAAGAAGACGGGGCAGAAGTTGCGTCATGCAATTTTGAAAGGAGAATCTGAGATACTCGATTTCCTTCACCAACAACTCGCATGGATTTCAACATGGAAGTTCCAAAGTAGGAGGCAGCCACAAACCACCATAGGGTGGCAAGTTACGATAAGGAGTGTCCTCATGCTCTGGGATGAGCTTTCAAACAGGTATGACTATAAATTCTTACTTACTCGACGCCTGCAGCAAGACCCACTGGAGAACATTTTTGGGGCAATAAGACAAATGCTGGGGTGCAATACAAACCCAAATGTGAATCAGTTCACCTCATGACTGAAACACATCGGGATAAAAAAACTGTTCAGACTCTCTAACAATGGAAATGTAGAGGATGAAAAGGCTGACCTCCTCAAGGAGTTGCCAATATTTTCGCACCATGAAAGTTCCTTTGCAGACAATGTGGAATGTTTTCCAGTTGATAACTTCCCGCCACTAAAAAATATTTCTGGGCTGGCATCAGACATCAGGTCTAACATAATTGATGACTCGTGCACTTACTACGTTGGAGGCTATTTGATCAAACTTTTCCTTGAACAGACAACCCGCAGCTGTGGCTGTTCTAAGCTGCTAAAGGATGAGTTCGACAACTTGACCAGGCCTCACCAGTATTTTCTTATGCTTAAAACATACCACGTGCCTGGGGAACTCTTCGGAAACCTAGTAGTACCATCACAGGCTGCCTTTAACTTCATTCAGAAACTAGAAAATCACTTTCTTGCCGTAATAGAGAGTGTAGCGCATGTTCGAAGAGTGTGTGCTGCCTTGTATCACACACTCTCAGAGCTGGGTGGTTTCAACCTTTGATCAGAGGAGTGTCACAAAAGGTTTTTAAAAATGTTTTGCCGAATACGCTTGTGTTGGCATGTTCGTTTCCTTAACCGGAACTTGGACAAAGTTCGGTTACACACTTCAGTTGCTAGTAAGCAACTTGATAAGTTTAACTGTTAATAGCTTAATAGCGTATTAACAGAGGCGGTTGCCAAATCAAAAACAGAAATTGCTTATTAATTGGGCAGTGTAGCTTGCACTCCAAACATGTGTTTTCTATATTTACAGGAAATGTGTATCATGACCCCCTTACACAAATATTTATCCACTTTCTGCAGAATTTCTATAGAAAATAGACTATAGAGGCATAGATATTCGGAAGAAAATGTGTCCACTTCTGTACCCGTCTATATTTTTTGGACGTTTTTTTTTCCGAAGTAATACTCCTGTCCTGGACAAACGTATTTCGGGGAATGTTTAGGGACGTTGAATCATGGTTGAATATCTATGGTTGAATCTTTTCAGATTCCGAATAGAGTTCTCATTGTTTTTTGTTTTTTTTTTTGTAATGGCTCACCCGCAGCGAGTTTCAGGCTATGCCATTTCGTGTGTTTTATATTAGCCGGTAATTTGGAATTTGTGGTATCCGGTGTGTGCTTCGCCTGGTAATGATAGCGATGTCTTGTTTATTTCTGCACTTACTTACCGTGCCCGAGTCGGCGTGAAGGTGAATGGATCATTCAGCATGTTCCCTGTGGAAAGCTTTTGTAAACTTGACTCCGCTAAAAATCTATTACGAAGCGTGCGATATGCCGAACTCCTTCATACTCATTTATTTTTGTGATTATCTATTTCTTATAAAACATACAGAGCTTCTGAAGTAAATAATGTACATATGAATGTGGTCCAATAAAATGTTTTCAAACCAGTTACTGTTGTTGACCCGAAAACCTCCCAAAATGCTCCACCAGCCAGGAGTCAATGTGGCGATTATGTATTTCAATGTGTTCAATAAGTTGAACTTTTATTCGACACATTACACATTTTGCAAAACTTATATCGTAAAAATTAAAATAAATTGCGTCAACATAAAAACAACAACAAAAAAAGAATCATCGGCTCCGGAGCCAAGGAGCTCCCGAGAGCCTAGCGAGGAGGGAGGCGAGAAGGAAAGAAAGAGAGAAAAAGAGAAGGAGAAGGGTACCAAAAAACCGAAACAAAAATGCCCAAAACGAAACCAAAACTAACTTGACCGGAACAGGAACCAGATTGTGTTTAATACCGTCCGCTCAGAGCGCTAGTTGTCACTGCTCTATCTGGGCCGCTGGGGCCTATGGAAGTGTCCGCTCT